CCCCAAAACCCCAAAACCCCAAAACCCCGTGCTATGATTATTAAGAAAATTTGAATGAGTTCTTATAAGCAAAGTATTTATAAATGTAGAATTTTGATATTAGATTTAATGAATTATTTATTTAAGCAATAAAACATCTAGATTATCACTTTCATTCCTCAGTCTCAGGAGCCTTTGAGTGTAGAGAAATAACACCTCTTGATAGAGAAGCGAGTCTATCTGCAGAGTGAACTGCAATCTTTCCGGCAAAGAAATCCTTAGCTGAAACCCAATCACTTTTTGCTGAGTCCCATTTTTTTACTACATTTCTATAACCTTCAGAGTCATACTCTGGAATAGTAGTCCAGATAGTTCCATCATATCCAACACTTAGATCTACAACTTTTAAGTCGTTGTGTTCCAATGTGTGTCCGTTGTTCTTGATGAAGACAGGAGTCTCTCCGTTCATCTCAATCTTTTCAAGTTTCATTAGCCATTCATAGCAGATATAGGTACCAAAATCATTGCTGAACCACTTGTCGTATTCCTCATCTCTATCAGCAAGATTTTTAAGATCAATTAGATGGAGTCTTCCAGAAGGAGATACTCCAAAGTCTCTAATGCTGTCTCTAATCTTAGTGTGGGACTTAGTTCTTATTATTAGCTCATAGCTATCGTTTAAGAGATAAAGATTTCCTTGGCCATCCCATCTCATCTTTTAAAGATTATTACAGTGTTGCTCAGCAGGAACGGCATCCCACTTATTGTTAGCAAAATCATATTGCAGGGTCTCTTTAACACATTCTGAACCAGTCCAGATAGATTGATAGCCAATTACTCTGCCGGATGGAGCAATAGCTACCTCAATAAAGTCCTCCCTTGGAGTAATATGGACTCCATTCTCTGGAGAGAAGTCAGCTGGCCAGTCATATACTGCTTCCTTGAAATCTTCTTAGACTTAAGTACTTTCAGCAGTTTGATCCTCAGTTTATTGCTGCTCTTCAACTTCAGCTTCAGCCTTTTGTTCTGGTACTGTTTCTTCTACTTGTTGTTGTACTTCTTGATTCTCAGATTCCATTGTGGGTTGTAGGTTGACTTGTGATTTGAAAGTTAGAAAGATATGATTGTAGGCCTTACATCCGTGATAGCTGTCGAGTTTGTCGTTATTTCTGCCAATGATAAGGTCCTCTTCTCTAACATCTACTCTTGCAAATTGTGATGCTGGGTGGAGAAGGTATTCTGCTGCAAAATCAGTACTTTACCATTCTTGTAATTCCTCTCCTCTACTAGCGGGGTCACCAAGATCGATAATATGAAGCTTGCCCTAAAGAGAGACACCGAAGTCCGCAACCTACTCTCTAACTTTGAGATGAGTTTTAGTTCTGATTGTGAGCCTGCAATCGTCAGTTAGAATTATCAGCTCATCATTTATGTCAAATCTTATCTTTTTAATTCCCTTGGCACTCTAGACTTCGTGCCATTTATTGTTAGCAAAGTCAAATTTCATTAGATACTTATCGACACCATTGTCAGTGTATCTATCTTAGATTCCGTAAAGCACACCTTTGCGGGATATGAATACATTGGCGTAGACCTCTGGACCCGGTAGCTCAAGCCAGCCATCTTCTCCTCCTTGTAAATCAGATGGAATGTTAAAAACTGGCTCTTTTTCTTAAGCTTTAACTTCAGGCTCTTGTTACTCCTAATTTTAAGATTATTAATGAATTATTTTTACTTGTTGTTGCTCCACTACTTCTTGCTGTTCAACAACTTCTTATTAGTTTTCGCTTTCTATCTAAAGTATTAAGTTAGATAAGTTTAAGTAGTAATTGAGTAGATCATTGTGAATGTCTTACCTTATATTTAGGGTATGTATGACTAGATTTTTAGGAATTAATATATAGATCTATTCATTAAAATAGCTTAAATACTTAATTGATAAATCGTATCCTACTCCAAATATTTTTATCTAATTGTAATTAAATTAAGCTTCATAACTATTGCTATTCTCTCTTCAATATTTCTGATAATGGCATTTGGGGTTTTGGGGTTTTGGGGTTTTGGGG